TATACAAATACTGTTGTCATATTTGGGTTGGTTCTTCTAATGTTACTTTTTATGTTCTTTACAAGGTCTAAAAACTTGTGGTACACCTAGTTGGACCTAAATAAACCTAGTTGAAACCTCTCATTATTGCTAAGTTGTATATTTTTTTCTTTTACACAAATACTATCATGATTGCTGCTTAACAAAGCTATTATCTCTAATTCTTTTAACCGAAACTTCATCTTGCTTGACTCATTTAACAAAGTTGCATCCTTTTTACTGTATTTGTCCCTGCATGTTCTAAAAACTTTTATTTTTCTAGTCTAAGATTTTAAAAGTTGTTTTATTATTATATTAAAGTTGTTTTGTAATTTTAATTAAATTAATTATTTTATAATAAAGAGAGAGAGAAGCAATACTATGACAATGTGAAAATGGTTGGCAAAAAAAGTTGGTTCAACCTTCAAAAGGTTCTTTTAAACCAACCTTTTGAAGGTTGGTTTAAAAGAAAAGAAATCATTTGAAGATTCGCCTTAGATATGGCAAAAGTATTTCATAAAAGGATCGATTTGAGATTTATATCACACCCCAAAAAGAGAGCTTATAGTAAAGACCAGGATGTCAATCTTTATCAAAGGCTTTAGAAATGTTGAGAGCATTAGTCTTTAAATCTAATGCCTCTCTAGATCTATCTAATGCACAATAAAATCTATCATTTATTACCTTTAACACAGCAGTAAAGAGAAAATTGAAATCCATATTGATGATCAGTGAGTAACTTGTTAGATTTAATACTGACAGATGGTGGACAAATTACCTTTTTCAAATAAGTGATTCATATAGTTTTACTCAGCACTGTTTTAAATATAGTTAATTATAATAATTTATACAATTTGCAATTGCCGAAAGAGAATATGATGATGATGATGAGGTGGTGATAGAATAGATATTCAAATAATATTCAAAACTTATTAAGGAACTTAAACAACTTTATAAAAACTTACAGTATATAACGTAGTTTAGAATTATGTAAAATGTTACTAATCATACATAAAAATGCAGGTTAATTTCAAAACCAACTAATAAAAACTTTTTATTGGTTGATTTTAAAATGAACGCACGTTTATACAGTCTATTAGTTACGTTTTTCATAATGCTAAGCTTTTCATAAAGTAAGTTTTTATAAAATTGTTTACGTGTATTTCTAAAAGTTCCTGAAGTTTTTAATAATATTTAAATATCCACTTTATTCTTTTTAAATGCTTATCTACTTTGATTATAAGGTTTGGAACTTGATTATGAAGTTTGGAATTTTGATTATGGAACTTTGATTTTGAAGTTTGGAAATACTTATGTTGTTTGAACAAAGAATGAACTTTAAAAGTTATAAGTGCTTAACAAAAGTAATAATACTATTATAGCTTTATTACTTTTATAATGCAGTTAGTGACTAGAGTGTTATTACTTTTGTAGTCATAAGTTTATTGTTTTGTTTTTTTTATAGCTTTTTCGCAACAAACTTATAATAATTTGCTCCTTGAAAACAAAGTACATTGCTTTGCATAATCCAAAATTTTTTTAAAATTTTTTATTTCCCATGAGAAAAAAACAAACAAAAAACTTTTACACCCGACATTGATTATCGTAGCGGACAACTCAAATTAGAAATTAAAACTGTTTCAGTTGCTCGCAGGAGGACTGGAAAAACTGGAGGGTACATCACTGTGATGATGATGATGTTAGTAATGATAATTCTGATGATCATGTTGATCATACTGATAACTATATATGCCTATATTTACAAAATATAACATGAATTTTGAATTAAAAAAATATACTTTAGGATTTATAAATGCTCATGCAGCCTTGGTCACAAACCTGGCCCCAACGCCAGCTATAGTTTATCGAACCCGCACCCAACCTGGTTAAAAAATCAACCCCGGTCGATTACTAATATGCAGTAGTATTATACTATTTATTTAATTTTTCAAATACTCATAAACTATTTCCTATAATAAAACTAACCCAGAGTGGCTTCACTCTTTTTGTCTGAAAAAATAAGGATAATTTAGGATAATATAGGAGATTTTTAATCTCTGATTTATCAGGAAATTTGAATGAAAAAGGATGAAAATCTAAGGAGATTTTAGGAGGATTTCAAAAACAAAGTAGCACTAAAAAATTTTCATTTTAGTTATAAATTGTAAGAATGTCCAGCTAAAATAATTAAGATAAAATTAGGGCCCAAACACTGTTATTTAAAATAATCTGACATCTCTACACATACAAAAATATTAACTTAAAACAAATCAATTTTATACTTGCATTAGAAATTTAACAAATTTAACATTGCGCTAAAAAGATGACTTTACTTATAACTAAAAACTGTTGACCTTCTGTTTTAAAATTATATGAGCATCAGTAATTTTTTTTTATATTTCAGTTGCTGCAACTCATATTTAATTCCAAACCCAAGATCAACATTTGCAACCAACACTTGATTTTTGACATCACTGATATCAACTTTTAATAATTTAAAAGTTGTGGATGTTTCAGACAAAACTTTTTTGATAAATTTTGATAAAAATAGCTTTAGTAAATTCTCAAGTGTTTCCACAAGAAAAGGTGTCATAGGATTGTCAGTTTGGAAAACTAACAAAAAAGAATTTATCAGTTTTGCAGGTTTGGAATGCATCATGAAATATCTTTGCATCATGGAATATTTTATACAATGAAGAAAGTAATTTGTTCACTTTACATACCGAAGCATTTGTACCATTCTTGAATAAACAGTGCATTGTGTGAAGACCGCATGACCCAATTGATACCAACTGACTGAGTTAAAATTCACTTCTCTTAGCATTCAAAAGAGAAGTGAATTGTGTGAACTGTGACTCAGCAATAAAAATTAATAGAAGCTTGCTGTGGACACAGTGCCGCTTTTGGGCTAGCTGGTGGTTCTACAACAGTTTTCAATGCATATTAATCTCAGACAGGGATACGTAATTTATGTTTGTTACGCTAAGCATGTTTTTCCAAGGCCTTTGTAGCCAGACCTGCAACAGATATAACTTTCAAACATGCCTTACATTTTACTGAATACAAATTGTTGGGACATATTTGTACCCATTGTTTATAATTATTGTTATTTAACCAATGATCTTGAAATTTAGTTTTATATTTGACTGGCATTTTCTAATCTAAAAATACAAAACTATTTAGGTTAACTTAGTAAAATAAAAATGTGAATAAAAATAATTTTAATTCCAAGAATTGCCACTGACAGAAATAAGAAAAAAGTAGAGCTAGAAATAAAAATAAAAAAAGTATCTTTTTAAAGTATAAAAACTTATGCACCCGGTTTTAAAAACTTACTTTTTTTGAGCATTATGGCAGTGTAAAGTTAGAAAAAATAATAGAACACAATATTTTTTATAATAAATAGTTTTTTTTATAATAAAAAAAAGTAATAACATTTTTTCATAATATATTAAATATATTCATACATAGATAAATAAATTAATAAAATGAATATGTGAAAAAACTAAATTTTGTGAATATGCAAAAGCATGTTAAATTTTCAAAACAAATACTGTTAAATATTACCCATGTTAACATGCTAAATTTACCATGTTAAAGAAATACAACTTAAGTATACACAATGTACACCTTTGGCTTAACTGGTGGCTTAATGAATGTTTGTATTTCTTTTATCACTCACAGGCATATATTGTTTATATCTTTATTCATTAACATGTATTTTCAATGTGTTTGTATCTAGATCTACAAAAGACATAACCTTAGTACATATAACATTCAAAAATACATGTTTTTTTTCATTAACATGTATTTTCAATGTGTTTGTATCCAGATCTGCAACATATAAAACTTTTAAAAATACAGCAATCATCTAGGTCATATTTATAAACTTCAGAATATATTTTGCAAAAAACATTTAACAAATATTAAACAATGCAGAATAATTTATTTTATAAACTTAGCATTCAATTGGCGGCTTTCTTAACTTTATGATGGCAATAATTGAAAAAGTTGACAAAAAAAAAAAGTATTACAAAATTATATTTTTAGAAAAAGACTTATGGCAAAAAGGAGCAATTAAAAGAAAGATATCCAGAAATAAAAAATCATCAAACATACCTAACATAATAATATAATACTTAACCATATAAATTTTTTTTAATAGATATTGTCTTTTAACTGCTTTTAAAATATAGCTTTATATTTGACTGATATTTTCTATTCTGAAAGTACAAAATTATTTAGGTCAACTTAATTATAATAAAGTTTTAATACAAATAATTTTGATGTTCAGAACTTAGGCAGAAATAAGAAAAAAAAGCCTAAACTTTACTAGAATGCAATTAAATTAATTAAATATTAAAAAAATATATTAAATATACCTTTTAGTAAATTATTTTCTATCAGTATACAAAAGTACTAACTCGAAATCTGAACCATTTCATTAACTTTATTGTTGATTGGCTGATAATAGTTTATGCATTATACTCAGGACAAATAAATTAGGAGAATTTAGGAGTATTTAAAATCACCTATACTTTAGGAGAAATTAGGTCTTTTTAGAATGTTTTTCAAATATTAAGACATTTTAAGATTTTTTAGGAGACGTGACCACCCTGTAACCACTATTTTGTTAATATCTAAATACTTATGCAATATTTCTAAAAAGACCAACTAATACTTTTTTAATATTTAAACACTCATACAAATTTCTTATGACTAAACCAATACTTTGTTAATATTATATTAACAAAGTATTGACAATATTTAAAAAATTAAAACTAACTTATTTTAATAAAAAGTTAATGGCATAAAGAATGAGTTTAAAAATTAAAACTTTAAATAAAATTTAAATTTAAACAAAGAGATTGATAAATTATTTAACTAAAATATTTATTTAGGTACAAATAATGTATAACTGCTTTTTATAAAAATTATACAGCTTAAGGTTTTTCAGGCAAAAACAAAAACAAATTACAAACCTAAATTTGATAAATCTTTTAGCACATCATTTCTCTTTATATGCTTTAATGAATCTACAATATATTTTTTGTAATCCTCAGGATGATGTTCATAAAGTATTTTCAATAGAGATCTCAATTTCGATTTATTATTTTTATCTACAAATTCATCATCATTTATATACTTGATAATAGCATTAATTGAACATTCGTCTGTAAATTCAGAGCAACGAGAAAACCTTTGCCAGTCCAAAGACACATTGTCTTCAAGGATTTCTATTATTTTGATATCCATTCCTATATAAAATTTACTACATAAATATTCTATAAAAAATCACTACATTTCCTATATAAATATCTCACTAATCCTTAGCGTAGTTCTTTTTTTTTTTGTGTAATAAGAAGAAGCTCTTTCACAGTTAAGGGCCAGAACCTCTAGAAATAATTTTTATATGGTATTTAAAAAAAATTTATCTTGTTTATAATTATAAATTATAATAATAATAAATGATAATAATGATTTATCTTATTTATAACGTATTTATGGGGACCCACCAACATTTTTATAACTAAGTTTCAAGAACCATCCCACTACATTTATAACAAAAAGGTGTTACTACTGGCTCACTCAATGCTAAATAGACCAAAATAAAGGATTTCAGACCACCTAAGATTTTGATAAAACTAGGTTTAATCAAAATCTTATATGGCTTGGTTTATATCAATAAGTAAACTGAGGAAAGCTTGGTTTATATCAATAAATAATCTGAGAAAAGCTTGGTTTATATCAATGAGAAAAGCAATTCCAGAAAACTTCAGCAATACCTAGCAAGTCCCTGCAATATGCTGGATTTAGAAGGAGTAAAAGCCTTTCATCTATGCAAATATATTACACGAATACGCCTATACTGTTACTCTATATAGACTAATTTAACAATTTATAGGTTATGGTGCAAATGGTTAGGTACTTCTTTGATTTTTTGTCAAGCATATGATAAAAGCTTGTCACATGAGAATGCTTAAAAATAGGCTGAGGAATATAGTAAAGTTCCTCAAGGTTCTTTTTATATATTATAGGTTAATATAAATTTAAGACTTTATAACAAACACTTCAAAGTTGTATTAAGAAAACACAAAAATTGTATTAAATTGCAAAAATTGTATTAAAATGCAAATTACAATCTAACTTGTATGTATAAACTAAATAGATTTGAGTCAGAAAAAAACCTGGGAGTGATTTTTTGTTGCAACTTGAAATAGAAACAAGCATTAAGTGAAATCAATGAAAATTATATGTTGTTTAAGATTTAAAAAAAAAAAATTTATTTGATTTTTATTTGACAAAAAAACTTCTTAATCAGTAATTTATGCTAGGAATATCATAGAGCAGGCTTGACCAGAAGTCATAAAGCAGGCTTGACCAGGAAGGTGTGCGATTTGAAGTCTTTACATGACAACAGAAATAATATTTTGTTATGATGACTAAACTACAGTTTTAAATACAAATGGGCTAAAAAATTTGGTTTTTAATTACGTTGGAAATAAATAATTTTGAAAATTTTATCTTTACTAACGTTGTTATATTAACAAAATGCTTTTAAATAAAGTAGCTAATGACTTTAATTAAAGTACCAGTGAAAGGAGTATATTTTTTTTTTTATATAATTTAATTATATAAGATTTTTTTAAGTAAAAAAAAAAAAAAGTAAAAATTTAAAAAAAATTTAATTTAATAAACTTTATATAAGAATCATTAAAGTTTTTGTCAAAAAGAAAAAAAAAAGAAAAACTTTTTTGAAAGGCGTTCGAATTAAATAATCTTGATTTTTAGTTATGATTTTATATTTTTGAAAAGCAATTAAATAAAGTAACAAATCACTGCAGGCCTTGTTACGAGATTTCACTGCGTAACGGAAAAGCGAAACGTGAATAAATGTAACTTTACTCAATAAAGAGATTTACATTGTTAAAAGTTAAATTACGTCAGTTGTGTTTTTACTTCATTGTAATTAAATTTAAAATGAGATTAAAAACTATTGTTAGTCTTTGAAACGAAATAGCTTTAAATTGAACAATATTGTTATAAAAAAAAACAACTAAAGTTTTAATGTTGATTAAAAAAAAGTCTTTTTGTATTAAAATCTTATACTTATTTAAACTTAATTCTTTTGCTATCAAACATTCGTTTTATGGTTGTTGTTTTTTTTAATATTTTTTTTTTAATAATTTATATTTAACACTTGTTTATGGTTGATTTTTTTAAAGGGATTTAAATGTACCTACAACTAAACGCATAGATTAGGTTTTCCCCTTTTTAAAAAAACGTTTTGCACTAACTGGTTTTGATAAAATAAATATTGTAAAGAAACAAAATTTACTGCTTTTCGGCTTTGTTTTTTTATTTCCATTAAAATATTTTATTTTTATGTACAGTGAAACCTAATGTATTTTTACTATTTTTTTACTCAATCCAAAAAAAAAAAAATAATAGTGTTTTCGGTTTTAAGATGTTATAAGCAGAATATGTTTTTAACAAATATCATTATAATTTTAAAATTTATTTATCTTATATTTATAGCTCTAGTACTAGTTTTGTTTTTAAAATAAAATAAATTTAAGTTGGGCTTTTAAAGAGTTTAATTACTGTTCGCGTTATTTTTAATAGGTTTGAATTTTGGTTTGTTTTATAAAAAAAATTCTTTGGCAAACAGCTAAGGAAAAACCCAAACCTAACATTTATAACTCGAGTTTAAAAGAACTTTTTTGTTTTGACGATATTTATTAACTTGTAGTTATAAAATGAATAATGCGCTTCTGTAAATAATGAATGAAACTGTAAAATAATGGAAAAATAGCGCATTATTGACACCAGTATTTGGAACTGAAACTTACCTGAAACTTAACTGAAATTAAAATAAAGTTATATGTAATACGAATATTTTAAAGTAACTTGAATTAAATTTATTAAATCTTTTTTTACTTTGAAAATTTTATCATAAAAAAAAATTGTAAAACGGAGCAGTTTAAAATTAAAAAATTTTAAAATGCTCTGTTTTAAAATTAAATAAAAGAATTTTGATTAAATTTAATAAATTTATTTACTAAAAACTATGATTAATAAAAAAATATATAAATTTGATAAAATAAACTAAAGTTTTTTTGTTTTTTTTAATTTGAATGTTTTTAAACTTATGAAATATAAAACTTAATATTAAATATGATAAAAAGTTTAAACTTAAAACACTTATTTTTTTTAAACAACAACAACAATAAAAATAATTAAAAAAATTTTTCTTAATCAAAAAATCTATTAGTTTACAATTGCGGTTATATGCTTTTACTTATGACTTTATTTTTCTCTGAATAAACGTCACATAAACGATACCAAATGATAATTTAAATATTGTAAAAGATTAAAGTTTTTGCATAACGCAAAACTGCTGAACGCGTAGGCAAATTGCCTTTTCGCAGGTAAAATGCGAGCTGCGTAACGATTCTTAACAAGGCCTGCACTGCTAATGATACTTTAAAAAAACGTTAATGAATAATATTTATTTTTTATATTTATACAGGGGTGTGGAGTCGTAAAAAAAAAGTAACGACTCCGACTCCAGTTGTTGAAATTTTTTGAGTACGACTCCGACTATGACACTAACTTCGATTACAACTCCAAAGAAAAATTATTGAAAATTTTTTTGAATTCTTTAAGAAATATTACGCAACAAGATAAAAAAAACTTTTTTGACAAATTTATGAAATATTCTTTGAGGTTTAGTATGAACATATGGTTAATAGAATGTTTTGTACATGCACATGCAATTCCGAGAAGTTTTACTATTGGAGTCGGAGTCGCGATTTTGTTTAGCATCTCTGACTCCGCTAAAAATGTTGCAACTCCGCAACTCCAAATCTGACTCCACAGCCCTGTATTTATATAAGTATTTAGTTTTTATTATAAAAAGTTTTTAAATTAAAAAAATTATATCAGCTTTTTAAATAAACAATTTAATTATTTTTTCTTTTGTGCGAAGAATTGTTAAGAATCTTTTTTTAAACTTTTAAAAGTGCACATTACTTAAACAATTGTCAGATGTAAGTTGTTACTTTATTTAAAAAAGGTTTCGTATAATATTATATTATAAAAACATTAGTAAAGATAAATGATTCAAAGTTATTTATTCCAAACCTAATTTAAATAATCTTATTGTTATAGTGAATTATTTATTTTAGTTAAGTTTTAATTATGCTTTTGTTAATTTAGTTTTAGTTAAGTTATTTTTATTTTATTTTTTGTTATTTATTTTACAAAGATTTATTTGCTTCTTTTACAATAATTTTTTAACTATAAAAGTTTCTTTATAGTTAAGTTAAGATACTTTGGCCGTTAGAGAAGTTCGTAGAACTTTATCTATAAAGTTACATTAAGACAGGAAATAATTAATTACATATATATCATCTTAAACTGTGTTTAATTATGAACATTTTACGTGCTTGTTGAAATATTTTGAATGTTTATTTAAAAAGTTATTTAAATTTTATTATATATGTTTGAAAGAAAAAATTTAAAAATGGAAAAACTTGAATATTGAGCATATATTAAAACTCGTGCTCTACTTGGAGTTTCAGCACAAGCCATAACCGATGAATTGGTTTTAGTTCATGGTGACCAAGCTCCAAAATATAGTACAGTTGCCAAGTGGGCTACTTTATTTAAAGATGGTAGAGAGAGTCTTGAAGATGATCCTCACCCAGAGCACCCTAAAATCACATATACAGCTGAGAATATTGAAAGTTTGCAAGCCATTATTGAAAAAAATCTGCATGCAACACATGATATAATTGAAGCCTTGACATCAATTAATCGTTTTACAATAACGAAATCATTCACAACGCACTTAAAAAAAGAAAACTAACATCACATTGGATACCCCACAATGAAAATCGTGGGGTATCCAATGTGATGTTAGTTTTCTTTTTTTCATCGTTAACAGATGAAAATCGAAAGAATAGAGTTGTGGAATGTAAGGAAAATTTAGCCCTTTTCAGAAACGGTCCATGAGATATTGTTACAGGGGGATGAGTCATGGTTTTATTTGAGACAAGTTGGACACAAGTCAGCTAACGCTAGTTGGGTCGGTGAATGTGAAAGTCCAAGAACTATTGTAAGATGCAATAGGTTTCAGCTAAAAAGCATGTTCTACATCTTCTTCAAAACAACAGGTGTTGTTCATTTGGGTTATGTTGAAAAGGGAGACACCATTACTTGCGAATATTACAGGGTTGGCAAAAACCCGGTT